TTTATTATAGCAAGGAGTTCCCTCCGTGTTACACAGTAGTTCATCTCTGGTCTACTCAAACCCTACTGAAGCAGGCCACCACATGTTCGTTTTCGCTCACTTTCTGAGACAATACTCCTCCAATTCCGACATAACTAGCATCACAATCTAGTATGTACGGCAATGAGGGGTCTGGAAGCTTTAAAAGTGGAGCTGAGGCCAATTTTTCCTTCAACGTCTTGAAAGAATGCTGGCAAGAAACTATCCATTCAAACTTCTGGCCTTTTTTTTAGTCAAATCATGTAGTGGAGCAGCTATAGTTGCAAAGTCCTTCACAAACTTCCGGTAATAGGTACAGAGTCCCAAGAAACTTCTTAACTCTCCCACATTGTCTGGTCTTGGCCAGTCACACACTGCTTTCACCTTATCAGGATCAGTTTGCACACCATGCTCACTTACAATGTGGCTTAAGTAAAGCACCTCTTTCTGGAACAAGTGACATTTCTTGGGATGGAGTTTGAGGTTTGCTGCTTTCAAACGTTTGAATACTTCCTCTAGCCGGAACATTTCCTCATCAAACGTTGTTGCAAATACAATGACATCGTCCAGGTACACTAGAGCTATCCTCCATTGCAGGCCTTCCAATACTCGTTCCATCAGCCTCTCAAATGTTACTGGAGTATTACTGAGCCCGAAAGGCATCACTCTGTATCGCCAGAGACCTTGCACATAACTAAATGCTGTCTTAGGTCTATTTGCTTCAGCCATTTTTACTTGATGGAAACCTGACTTTAAGTCCAGAGTTGAAAACCACCTGGCTCCACTTAGGGCATCAAGAGTATCACCAATTCTTGGCAGTGGGTATGTGTCTTTTTCGGTTATGCTGTTAAGAGCCCTGAAGTCCACTCAGCAAAGTTGGGTCCCATCCCACTTCTGACATCAATTTGTTACGTCTCCGTTTGTTAGTTAATTTTCCGTTAAATTCGTTCCGATGAAACTTTAGCAACACAAGTCCTTTCTTAAATAAAACTGGTTTATTCTTTCCGAGTACAACTTTATGATACACTTAATTTCAACAGTCACTCTATAACAAACGCTAGAGCATTCATGAAGGAACAAGATATTTCTAGAAGGACGTGGCGTGATACTAGTCACGTGACCTCGATGACGCAACAATACGTATGTTTTACTTGTGAAAGCGAAACAGTAAGTGTTCTACAGAATAAGGTATGAGAGAAACTAAGAACAGTTTAGAAATGTATTCCATACTTTCACAAAATTTGTGTACTCAAAGCAGTTTGGAGGTGTGTTTGACATTGATCAATTCCCAATGGGGTAAGACAGTTTGAAAGATTTATGCAATTTTAGTCTTCTATAGAAAATGAGTTGATAAACAGTATGTCATTCATTTATTATTTTGTTGCAAATTGAATTAGTAGAGATGTTAAAATATGCAAAATAATGGTTTTAACATCATTAAATCTAGACAATGATGACATAATCACATGTTGAATTTTAGTAACACTGTCACAGCATATTTGTTAAAATCCTATGGGGAGTCATTAAAATAATGGTTTTAACATAATTAAATTTAAACATTGATCATATGTGGAAGTATAGTGTGTGTGCCTTTGTAAAATTCATGTAAGATAAAACTATAAAGCATCATGTGTAAAATGCAATATTTTGTCAAGCTGTAGCATAAAATCAGATTAATAAAAGTGAAAGTTTAACTATTGCATAATGTTGTCCTTTTTAGGACATAAAAATAGTAAAAGAATGTATGGAACAAATAAATTTATGTTAAGCGTCCTTTTAGAATGATTTACAGGGTCAGGAAATTTAATGAACTGATTAAAACCTATTGTATTAAATATGGTAATCTTGAGACATCAAACAGTAAGTTTTAATTAAGATATCCTTTTAGGATGGTGTAAATGATCAGGAAATGTAATTATGTAATAAAATAGTGACTTTGACCAATTAATTATAGTCATGTTAAGACATGTTATGCTGTTCAATGGAACTATGACGTCATGGCGTCTTAGCAATGCCTCCATGAAAATGCACCCTGGTGTCATGGTCCCCTGTCATGATGGCCTAGCAAAGTTGGCCTAATACATGTTCCTCTGGTGATAATTTAAGTAACTATGATGTCCTTGTCTTTGATGGCATCATCCACCCTTCCTCTATTGCCTGGTGGCCCCTCACTGAGGTAGCATCCTTTGAAGGTACAAGAGCTGCCCTAACTATTGGCATGGTGGAGATGTATACTTCTTGTCATCCTCAATCTGATGGTTTGGCTAAAGGGATAGCATATACTATGAAACTTATGCTTGCTAAGTTTGTTAACCCTGATCATGGTGATTAGGATGAGCGCTTACTGTATGTCATGGTGGTATATTTCACAACTGAGTAACAGTCAACTGGCTGTTCTCCAAATATCATGATGTTCGGATGAGAAGTACAGCTCACTGGATCTGATTTATGGCTTTCCACCAAGAATAGAGATACCACAGTCTCCACAGGACCACCACTTGATTATTCTGCATTTAAGACAGTTAACTGATAAATCAACAACTGAAAGGGGAGTTGTCCGTTATTTTCCAAGCTGTTGGGCGATATTTGAAACTAAAACGTTGGCCTGACATTTTATAATTGCCTGATATGTTTAGTTGAGACCAGATTGTGCAAAACACACTAGATACAAAGCTAAGACAACATAGACTGTTGGGTAAAAATCATAGGGAAGGTTACAGTTAGATTCAACTGTTAATAGTTACTGCAGATTTTGAAAAATAAGCTGGAAGGACTTTGCAATCCTTGCTTTTTTAGAACTCGTACTACGTTTTGTGGCAAATTTTGGTACACATTTCCCTGTAAAATCTTCCTGGGCAAACCTAATAATATTTCGCGTAACTCAGCGCTACTTTGTGTTATGCCACTCTGGGAGATCACACTTGATGATTTGGATAGTGCATACCATTCTTCCTGAGGTGCAGTCAGCAGATTGCACTCTAATACAGCACAAAAAATTAACTTAGTCTTTATAAATCAGATGAAATGTGTGTCATTTTGTTCGTGTTTATCTAATGTAGTGTTTTTTATGCCTCCTAGATGGCAGCGCTGAAGAAATATGAGAATCCGGCTGATTACCAGTTATGACAATGAAAGTGCCCACTACACAAAATTGTGTTTTTATGAGCTTATTTTGAAGTTGACGACATAAAATGTGATCCAAATGGATGTTTATAGCAGAATAGTCTATTTTTGCTCATTTCCATCTTTGATTACGTTTTTCTTTTTGTGTCATTGCTTGTGTTTGTATAATACCTGCTCAATGGGTGGCAGCTACAAGTTTCACTTTAGTGTGGTTTTCAAAAAGCATATGAAGTTTGAGATTGATGCTAGTTGGTTGCTATTGAAACCATGGAGTCCTTCGGTAATGATGATGTGTACTAAAAATTATGTATTGGTTGTTATATGATGGGGAAGTAGGAGCACAAGAAATTGTAACTTTGCTTTTCACTTTTACTTTTTTTTTGACCAAAGAAAGTCACTCCTACTTTATAATGTCAGAGACCAGTCACATCTGTGACAATTTAAGGCATTTGTTACAGTTAAATCGTGACGAGTTAGTAGCAGTAATTTTCCCAAAGCAATGAATTTCCAAAAAGTTTTATGCCAATATATTGTTACGACAGCGGAAGTCACGTGACACTGGTAACACGTAATGAGTATCTCGAACGTTCGTGAAGGCTCGAACGTTTGCTAGACGCACGCTCTTATTTATATAAGTCGGCAAATAAAGTGACGGCATAGAGAATTGCAGACAGACAGAGATGGACAATTGAGTCAAGCGCGGTAGTAAGTAAAGTGCGTGAA